CTCCTGGGCCCATAACCAAAAGGAACTTATTGCCTTTAAATAGGTATTCTCTCAACTCCAAATAAAATAATAATATGTAAGATAAAAAGACTTATGTATTTTCTTGATAAATATTTTAAACAGAAAAGAAAAACAAACTGACAATGACAAAGAATATGAAGAGAAAAAAACAAAGTGGCCTATCAAAAGATATATGAAAGAAGGTTGGTGTGTAAACTAAATAGTTCCAACAAGAACAGGTTCTGATATCAATTATTTATACATTTAGTCATGATATGCATTTCCCGTTGCTAAAAATCTTAAGGTTAAGCTAACCGTTGCTTAGCGCTTACACTAGTTCTAAATAGCGTATTTTATTTTTTTTTATATAAAGCATGACTAAGTTTAATATATGATCAAATTGAGCAGAACTCGTTCTGAAGTAGTTCAAACTGCATAGTTGTCTCTCAGAAGCAAATAATTTTTCACCCAATATTTTCTTTATTTGTTTTATTATTTACGCCCGCAGTAAGGGCAAAGCCAATTTTTTGGTATTTTGTGAGCGCAGGAGCCATCCTTTCAACGCCACGTTTGCATGCCAACTGAGTTAGGGAGGCGATCTAGTGCAGTGTAAACCGTAAACACAACGACGCCAACCGCCCTAAATCGAGGACAATAAAAGTGGTATACCAATCCACTTACCGCGTAAATAAGACAGGAGTGCTACAAGGAAGTGTGCCGGGCCCGTTACTCTTCCTTATCTACATAAATGACCTCCCAGATATGACAGAACATAAATGTATACTATTTGCCGATGATACAACACTTATTGTAAAATATCGAAATATTAATGAGATGAGTGAAGTTACAAATAAATCCCTCTGTAAGATAATGGAATGGTTAAACGTAAATAATATAAAAGTAAATTTAGATAAGACTAAATATATCTTATTTAAAACACGTAATATTAATAATCGTAACATTAATAACAATAGTATGGATATTAATTATAACTTGAAAAAAATCAATAAAGCAAATATGACAAAATTTCTTGGTATAACAATTGATGATCAATGTAACTGGAAAATACACATAGACTCAATGATGCTTAAACTTGACAGATATGTATTTGTGCTAAGAAGAATAAGAAAAACTGTATCTAAAACTGCAGCTATAACAGGCTATCATGGATATGTAGCATCATTGTTACGGTATGGCATTATTTTATGGGGAAACTCCGTCGATAGTAACAAAGTCTTTAAGTTACAAAAAAAATGTATAAGATCTACACGTGGTGCTGGATTTTTGGACTCGTGTAAGCCACTTTTTAAAAATTTAAATATTCTTCCTTTGCCTTGACTAAAATTTATGAAATAGTAAAATTTGTAAAAAGGCATATGGTTCTATTTGAAGTGAATGGTAATAGCTGTAATTATAGGCGTAGATATAAAGATAAATTGTGTGTGCCACCACAAAGATTGACTCTTTATTCCAAAAATGTTTTTTGAATAGCTATACGTATTTGTAATAAGCTGCCAAAACACCTCACTGACATGATTTTGACGAAATTCCAAAAATATCTGCATGAATATTTAATAAATAAATTGTATTATGATATTAATGACTTCTTAATGGATAAAATTGGTAATTAAATTTAAATTTAGATGACATTTAATTTGAAATTTGTAATGATAATTGTAAATGGATTATTATGGTTGAATGGTTAATTATTAATTATTGTCATCATCTTAACTGAAACATTATTCTCTGTTTTCATGTAATGACATTTAAAAATAAAAATATTTGCACTGTTCATATACTGTAGAATGTGAGAAACTATTGTTAATAACTATGTAACATCATTTGTACCATATTCTTGCAAATAAACATTTATTACTATTATTTTTGTATTTAAAAATTTACTCTTCCCGACCCCTCGACGATTCGAGGGGTGGGAGGATTCCCCCCGGCATAGGGGGCCAGACGGCCGGGGGTCAGGGCGACAAAGAGAGAAAACGGCGGACGATCCTTGCGTTATCGAGCAAGATCGCCCGCTGGAGCCTCGCAATCATTGGTCCGTCACGGAGTCCCAACCTCTTCAGATAGTCGTGAAGAGAAGTCGGGACTAGGCCATTCGTTGACACTACGACTGGGATGATCTCAGTGGATGACACTCGCCACATATCGGTAACCTCGTGCGCCAGGTTCAGATATTTAAGTTTTTTATCTGATTCGGCTTTCACGAGGTTTTCATCGAATGGGACGGTGACATCCACTAAGAACACCCGAGATTCCGCCCGGTCCATCAGTACGATATCAGGCTTGTTCGCAGGAACAGTCCTGTCCGCAATGACGGACCGGTCCCAGTACAATTGAGCGCGGTCGTTTTCAAGAACTGGCTCCGGCACATACTTATAGTACGGCACCTTTTCGCCTATGAGGCCGTATTTGAAGACTAACTCGAGATGGAGTATTTTGGCTGCTTAGTCATGTCTGTTCAAATACTCGGTATTAGCCAGTACAGGACAACCGGAAGTAATATGCCTGAGTGACTCCCCGGGCTGGTGACAGGCTCTACAAACGTCCTCTGTCCCATCCTTCAGGATATACTTCCGGTAGTTTCGGGTCATAATGACCTGGTCCTGTATTGCACAGACAAAACCTTCGGTTTCCCCAAAGAGGTCCCCGAAGCGAAGCCAATGCACGGAGGCTCTCGGATCCACGTGACGCTCGTGTAGCGCCTTGTAGAACCTACCGTGCAACTCCTTCTCCCTCCAAACGGCCTCTCGGTCAGTGGTGCTAAGTACTGCTGGTTCTCGCCATTGCTCGGTGGCCAAAGAGAGAGGGGTTAGTCCTACATCACATGCTTTGACATCTCTATGCAACTCACTGGATTCCGATTTCGCCAGGAAGTAATTACGGAGACTGTGTATCTCGCGGTTGTGCAGGGTTTTCGCACTGAGCAGCCCACTACCGCCGCTCTTCCTCGGGATATACAGCCTCATCACTGACGATCTCGAGTGGTGCATCCTATGGAGTGTCAAAGTTGTGCGGATATGTTTTTGAGGTTATGTCGTATATTATTTAAACTGTAGCATGTTTAGTTAGACGTGTTACAGTTGAAATATGTAGAGCACACGTCAGATAATGCCTAATCGTGGTCCTAGAACTGTATACTTTCACATAATACTTCAACCTTGAATTCTCTAATGAATACCTCACCAAGGAATGCTGCAGGAGCAGTAACATTCTGTTCGTGTCTGTCCCATCCAAGATACCAAACTATAGTCATTATATGAGCACTACATCCCTATGTGCATCGACCAACAAAACGATCACAGCAGTTATCTCTTATGCCATCTAAACCGGATGTGTCATTATTAATTAAACTGTACATATAACATTGTTTCCTCCCAATACGTCACGACTTAATTTTACCCCTTCTAATTGAGACTTCATTTATATTTAAGTCTGATTCTAATAATCCAGAGAATCCGGTATTTCTCTACAGACCTCAAAAACAAAATCGCACAGAACACAAAATTGCCGCCAAAGCTACAAAACAGTCTGCGCAAAAACACGTCTACACATACTGTCAAAAATAGGGAGTCGCAATCAATTGATTACTCTAATATCGATTTTTTGAACAATCTTTAGTTTTTAATTTCATTATAAATAAACTATTTTCCTCTAGGTGACAAGAGATGGACTTCTCTAGGAATAACATTATTATTAATTACAGATGCGATCAAAAATAACATAATTTAAACTGCGTTCTAAAAAGTAAAGACATATTTTAGAGAAGATTATCTTTCTTTTCCCAGCTTTTAAAAATAAATTGTTTGTATATAATAATTACATTCAACTTATACTACATTTTGGTATTAGTTCCATCTTGGTAACAAGAACTTTTTTTTCATAGTCCATTTTGACCATTATTCTTTGCTAACCTCACCTCAGTTGACGTAGAGCGATCTTTTTCAATGTACAAATGGATTTTAAATGTTCGGAGAAATTCATTGAAGCCAAAAAATATTGAAAAGCTTATGATTATATATTTTAATTCTCACAAAAGTTATACAGTAATGTCGGAAGCGAACACTTCAAATCTTACTGGTAATCAATCGGACAAGGAAAATGATTCTGATGGGCCGTTTGAATAGGCAAAACCTCATGAGTCTAGGCTAGAAGCAAAAGTATTCGCTCGTATTTATAATAAAGGCGAAATATGCGTATGAGAATTTGCTTAAGACTATCAATAATTTGTATTGTAAATTAATGTAAACTAATAACAATTTTATGTTAAGTGTCTTTGTTTTATTTGTCTCTTCTGACGTTGTTATTGTTATTTAGTTGTAAGATTGTTGGCCACACGGGATTGTACATTAGAAATCCCGGGAAGGTCCACATTAATATCAACATTTCGATGCAAGTACATAAATAACTCTACCTAATTCCGACCTCTGATTATAATTCTCTGATGGTTACCATACCGGAGAAAACTAAATTTAAAAGATTAATTGACCATGCATTTCTGACGATTGAATTACCAATATGTTTATATTAGCGCTATATGTTTAGGCTATTATCTGTCGTTCGGGACTCTAGTGCCCCTACTTATATATTTGTACTGTGTACATACCGATGACCAAATTGAGGACAAGTTTTGTACAAAGTTTATAATATTATAAAGTTTTGTATAACCCTGATGTAAAGTGCAGTTAACTCAAGCCGCTTCAAAAAAGTCAACTTACTATGGCTGTACGACTCAGATGTGTTTTACTATTTATATTTAAAAACAGACTAACAAACGTCATAATAACAGAAATCCCGCTAAAATTTAATTTGCTTGCTTCCGTATTTGACAATAGATTATTTTACAATCGTGGAAATTATATTAATATACAAACTTCGAATCAATTTTTGTTAATTGATCTCTATAATTTTAAAATGTTTAATAGCATAAAATATACCTCTGTGTGTTCGATGAAGCTTACTAAGATAATGAAAAAAATTGTTCTGGGTACTTAAATGGTTACGGAACGGGAAAGGTTATCATTTTGCGACTCCATTTCATGTATTATGTGATACAAGGGTAACACTGATAATGTAGAGGAAAAGGGAGGGCAAGCTCCAATACAATATGTACATTAACTTTAAGTTTTAGAGTAAATATAACAAGTTATCAGTCCCAAGATTACACTTTCAAGGTCATTAAATGATTGCTTCATTTTCTCGCAATCGCAACGCACCACAGAATAAGAGTAAGTATCTACATCCGCTTAATCTTTCGATATATTAATATTTACATGTCTATTATTTATTATAATTCTTAGTCACATTATGATTTCCTAGTATATTATTGTTTATTTTCCAGAATAAATCTAGTAGATATCACTTAGGATACGTAACATCAAATGGCAAGTAAGATATATTTCATTGGAGTTGATGTGGGTTCAGGCAGTGTCCGAGCAGCTCTTGTTGATGAGAAAGGTCATGTTCTAAAAACATCAGTAAAGGCATTACAAACATGGAAACCTAAAACTGATTACTTTGAACAGTCTTCCAATGATGTTTGGGAATGTTGTTTACATGTTATTAAAGTAAGTACTTAGTTTATTGAAAATATGAAATTACTACTGAACATTATTTAAACCCAATTTATTGCAGAATGTTGTGTCAAATGTGGACCCTGCATCTATCAGAGGTATAGGATTTGATGCCACTTGCTCACTAGTGGCTCTTGACAAAAATTGTAACCCAATTGCTGTTAGTAATACACTTAACAATGAACAAAATATCATCATGTGGATGGATCATAGGGCTCAGGCTGAAGCAGATTTAATAAATGAAACTGGCCATGAAGTACTTCTATATGTTGGTGGCAAAGTGAGCCTTGAAATGGAGATGCCAAAACTGCTTTGGTTAAAAAAACACTTACCTCAAAAATGGAAGGAATTTGGATATTTCTTTGATCTACCAGACTTCTTAACTTGGAAAGCGACTGGATCATTTAGTAGATCTTTGTGCTCATTGGTTTGCAAGTGGAATTATGAATGTTCACTTGATGGTAAGCAAGGTTGGAATGTCAGTTTTCTGCGAGAAATCGGTTTGGAAGATTTGGCCGATAATGACTTTCAGAAAATTGGTAACAGTGTTTTAATGCCTGGAGTGAGATGTGGTGGACTAACAGATAAGGTTGCAGAGACACTAGGACTCATACCTGGCACACCTGTGGCAACTTCAATTATTGATGCTCATGCTGGTGGTCTAGGTATGATTGGAACTCATGGAGAAGGTATTGATAAAAATATGTCAACTCGACTGAGTTTAATATGTGGAACATCAACCTGTCATATGGCTGTCAATAAAAAGGCTATACTAGTTAAAGGAGTCTGGGGACCATATTTCAGTGCTATGGTCCCTAATATGTGGCTAAATGAAGCTGGTCAAAGTGCTTCCGGAATGTTGTTAGACTACATTATTTCCAGTCATCCTGCTGGTATTCAACTTTTGAAGACGTATGAAACAGGAGAGTGAGTTTAAAATTTTTATTATATTACTAACAGTAATTTTTCTATTAAAATAAGATACAGTAGTCTTATTTTATTAAATGTGTTGAAGCACATGTTTCATTAAAAATCCATTTGAAGGTAAATTTCCCAACTGTCCTGCTTAACCAGGAAAGACATGCTAGTCAGATAGTGCCCTGATAAGGACATGTATTTTAAAATACACACAGTGCTTTTCAATTCTTAAGCCGTGTATCGACTGCGCGCGGCTGCCGCGCGAGCCATGCTCGACCGCGGCAAACCTGCGTTTTGGTGCGCGAGCCAATTTAAAGCTCACATTTTCATATAACGCGGCAGCAGCGCGGCAGGCGATCCGTGAACAAACATTCATTTTGTGCGCGGCAACCATGGACGTATCACGTCAGCGACGTGCAGCTGCGGCTTTTATCATCATATATCATATTATTCATAAGCGTTCGAGACGAGAACCTCGTTGGTGGATCAAAAAAATATATATGAATAGAATGCCACATGGTAGTTCACGATTAATGGAAGACATGAAGGTGGGGTGATACAGGCGTTTTTCTTTCTTTCCTTTCATTTTTCTTCTTCTTTCTCTTTTTTCTTTCATTTGCTTAGTAATGTATAAAGAAAATTCCATTACCGGCCTTTGCAATTCGATATCGCTCATCGATATCGAATTGCATTACATCAAGCCATGTGTAAAAAGCCTAACTCCTAGAAAGATTGATTTAGAGCAGCCTGGAACCAAAGGCTTGCTGTTGACTTTGCGAGATCATCAATTAACCTTATGGAAGTCCTGCCCTGTGACACCCTATATCTTATATGAGTATTATTTCTTTTATGATTCTTAAATTTGAATAACATTTAATTGCTATTAAAGAATAACAATTGACTAATTTTTATTACCCAATTAACAATTAATCAAGTGTTGATTGCAATTAAATTTTGCCTAACACTGCGGGAGTATCATGCATTATTCTCATAAATGAAAATTGTATTATTTATCAAATTTTATTTAACTACCATTACTGCATCCTGTTTTGAGAAATTTTTCGCACTTTAAATCCTAGCTTCAGTAAGTGGAGTAAGTATCGTAGTTAAACTGTAACCCATTTTATTTTTAGAATTCGCAGACACCTTCGTGAGTTACTATCACAAATGACACGGGCCCAAGGTTTGGAAGACATGAGTTTACTGACTAAAGACTTTCATGTGTGGCCTGATTTCCATGGTAACAGATCACCTTTGGCCGACCCTACTATGAAAGGCATGATTGTCGGTCTATCCATCAACACCAGTGAAGAAAACTTAGCATTGTTATATCTGGCAACATTACAAGGTTTGTCGGTAAGTGACTTTATTGTTACTTATACTATAGAGTTGTCAAAGTCCTGTTTTCCCAGGATGCAACATCCTGTGTTTATAAAGAGTCTTGATAAGGTAATATAACATAATTAAAATTCACATGCTAATTTTACAATTTTGTTTTAATATTGTTACGTGTTCAGATTTGAGATGAAATATAACGCCAATTAAGTTGACAATCCGACTTTAATTAAGTCGAGTTTCGGCAAATAACTTTATAAAAATATAGATCCGACTTCAAACTTAAAAAAGTGGAAATTAATACTTAATAGTGACTTATTTAAGAAAATGCTATTAAAGTCGGACGGAGGTTATCTGTTGGTTATTAATTTAATGATTTTTAAGTTTGAAGACGGTTCTATATTTTTTAAAGTTTTTATTTCATGCTTTTTAGTGATTGGTATTATAATTTGCTGTCATGCTTTATGACAGAAATATTTTGAAAATATTATGTTTTATGTTATTATTTGTTTCAGTATGGTACCAGACATATTATGGACTACCTTCAATTATCTGGATATGATTCAATTAAATCTTTACTAATCTGCGGTGGAATCTCAAAAGATCCGCTCTTTGTTCAGATACAAGCAGATTCTGTTGGTTTGCCTATTTTGAAACCGCATGAAAAAGATTCAGTTTTAGTCGGTGCCGCGATCCTAGGAGCTTGTGCCTCACAACACTTTAATAGTGTTACGAGTGCTATAGAAGAGATGGGTGGTACAGCAGAAGTTATTCAACCGAACAGAAACATCAAGTATTACCATGATAAAAAATATAAAGTGTTCCTTAAGATGTGTGAAGATCAAATATTATACAAAAATCTTATGAATTAGCAAGGTTTACTTCATTTTGTCGTTGTAAGAGATTACGGTATACAGGGATTAGGGATTATGTGATGTATGTGGGTACTCATTATTCGAAAACCCACATGATTCCACATATATGCTATTGTGTGGAGCCAATAGTTAATAATAAACCAGCTTGAATCTAGTACTATCCTGTTTTATTTATTAGCATACGTAACATTTGGCGACGAGTTACGGTCACACGTGAAGCAAAATATCGGCTACAATGAGGAAGGTTAAAAAAAAAGAAAGCACTAAAAAGTACCTCTACTAGATGGCGACTCTAGCAAAAGTTGTTTTTTGCAGAAAACGAATGGACCTAAGACTCAATTCCGTTCCTTTTAACTAACATATTAAAAAACTAATTTGTAAAGTTCGAAACTTAGATATTAATACAAACACGAAAAATTACAAATAGAATATGAGTTGTTTATTGAGTTTTGAAAACTAATTTAATTTTATACATGAAAGAAAATCGGAAGGGTTGTCATAGAGAAATCAAGAACGTGCCGTAGCGACATCTAGTTTGATTTCGGGAACTAATGTTTTTTTTTAATACTTATTGGAAGTTTGTTTACGACCATACGATTGATCAGTGGAAAATATACTACAGTCATTTAAATCAATATTTATAATTGAATGCTAGTATTAAAAGTGAAAGTGAACGTTCATTCCTGTTAACGCACTTATTAGACATAAATTATCAAGCTGATTACTACTCTCAAAGATCACTTTAAACCCAACAGGTGTAAGTGTGCTGATCGGGAATCATTCTTAGAAGCGAGGCGTGCAAAAGACTGGGCTGCGAGATAAGGCGACTCTCAATTCGTTGAGAGTTCGGCAAATGTGGCTACAGATTGTCGTTATACAGGAGCCAGTATACAAAATAATTGGACAGTCAATGAATATTCGTAAGGCGGAATCATTCAAATCGTCATAAAAGCCGTGTGCCGTATTTTTTCGCTCTTTCTTTCTCCTATGTGTACCATTGGTTAGGGTGTTTTATCTACGATTGTGAAGATTAAGGGACGTTCGCAAAGGTTTGTAATGGGATGAGAGTTTTTTTTTCTTGTAATTGGTTGAGCGTGATGGAGCAATAAGCGGTTCGAGATGAGGCGGGGTGGTGCAGGGCGAAGCGGAGTGTGAAAGGCTTTTGCTCTCTTTTATTCTCTAAGCCAGTGTTTAGTAACATTTTGATCACCCATCCAATTCACAGATCAAACGCGCTAACCACCTGGCATTCCTTAGTAGGGCCGTTTGTGGATCCCAATGCGAATTGGTGGCGCTAAAGCACAGATACTCTTAATAATGGATGAATAAAACCAACGGGGCACGCGTAAAGATCCCGATACAGATTAGTGGTGATAAAACACATACATATATTCTTAAAAGGATGAAACCAATCCATCCAGCATTTCTAACTGGACCTATGTGGAGGTCCCGCAATCCGGATCGATGGTGATTTCTAATGGATGAAATCAATCTACCCAGTAATTCGTAGTGAGACTTCCTAAATCGTTCCGAAAAGAATTTGACCACACATCTTATTACCGGCCTTTCCAATCGTCACTTATCGTCCGCAATAACAGATGAAACACGCTACCCATTACACCATCGAGTTATTCACTTGTTTATATTATAAAAATATATTTACTGTAACAAGAAAGAACAATGGCCATCTGCCTAACATGCTTGGACTAGTAAAATCGAATAAAACGTAACTTGATGAAACATATTTTATTTTGTTTGCCTATGCAACTAGAACAAAGATAGAAATTCAATATATTTTTAAAAGCTGGGAGTATCGAGTAATTGTGTAATATGTTTTTGAGGTTATGTCGTATTATTTAAACTGTAGCATTTTAAGTTAGAGGTATTACACTTGAAATATGTAAAATACACGTCAGATAATGCCTAATCGTGGTCCTAGAAGTGCATACTTTCACATAATACTTCAAACTTGCTCCATATCTGATATATTATTTTTATTGACTGTAAGAAATAAAATCATTTTTTGTGAACCAATAAACATCAAAAAAATAATAGAATTTTTAAGATTGTTCTCAATAACTCTACTTTTCCATCTTACACTATATAGAACTTATATAAAGTAGTAGTGAAAATACTAATGTCAAAAGGATATAGCAAAACAACATGTTGATTTTTCTTTTCTTTATTACAACTCTATTGAATACCTCGTCACCGAATGCTGCAGGAGCAGCTACATTCTGTTCATGTCTGGCCCATCCAAGATACCAAATTATGGTCATTATATGAGCACAGCATCCCAGTGTACATCGACCAATAAAACAATTACAGCAGTGTTCTCGTATGCTATCTAACCCGGATGTGTAATTATTTATTAAAATGTACACATTATATTGACGTGGATACGTCTGTTTTCGTTCTATAGGGAGGTCATTCTGTGAGCAGGAGTATATGCACTAACGCCATCTGTTGGCGCTAGTGAATACTTTTTTCATTCAACAAATGAACGCAACGAATATTTATTTATTTAGTGTTTAGTGTCTTCAATTTTTTTTTTTTTTTTTTTAATTATTCATTTATAAATGCAATTATGCCACAACATTGCATAATTCCGGGTTGTTTTGGAGAAGCGAATCGTTCAGTTTTTAGAGTGCCAAAGAACATTGATAGACATGAAGAGTGGTTAAAAGCTATTCGTGATGTGTTTCCTAACCTGGATGTTGGTGAAAAAAATTTTTTTTTATCAATTACTCATATATCCATTCATACATAGACGTATCCACGCATAAAATATGGCTGTATCAATGATACAGCCATATTTTTTGTTTCCTCCCAATGTCTCGACTTAATTCTACCCCTTATAATTAGGACTTTATTTATATTTATGTCTAATTCTAATAAATCCAGAGAATCCGGTATTTCTCTACAGACTTCAATTCTATACTGCCCATAGAACCTAGTATGATGCGCCGCCAAAGTTACAAAACGGTCTGCGTAGAAACACGTCTACACATACTTGTCTAAAAATGGGAGGTCGCAATCGATTATTGAATACTGTAATTTCGATTCTTATGAATAATCATTAGTTTTTAATTTCATTATAAATAAACTATTTTCCTCTAGGTAACATCTAATTATATTAGTTATCTAATCTAAGTTTTATAATTTTCATGGATTTATATGATTAGTAAATATTATAAGATTTGTATCAAATTAGATTAGTTGGAAATAAAATCGATCTTGTTATTTGAAAAGAGAGGGACTTCTCTAGGAATGACATTATTATTAAGATGCGTTCAAAAATAACATAATTTAAACTGCGTTCTAAAAAACAAAGACATATTTTAGAGAGGAATATCTTTCTTTTCCCAGCTTTTAAAAATAAATTGTTGGTATATAATAATTACATTCAACTTATACTACATTTTGGTAATAGTTCCATCTTGGTACAAGAATTTTTTTTTTCGTAGTCCATTTTGGCCATTGTTCTTTAACAAGATTATTGTGTACGATAATAACCGCAGTAGACAAAAAACTGAACCATATAAAAATTCTCACTTTAATCAAAATATGTTATTGCAGCTGGGAGTTCTCTCTCTGTACTGTTATTAGTACTAAGTCTATGGCAACAATCGATTAAACAGTAAAATGAAGAAGTATGTAAAATGTACAAAAATGTATGACAGCACAAAATTGTAGGATATAAATGTCAATGAGGATATTTAAAAAAATCATGAGTCTTCAAAACTCAATTAACAACTCTTATTCTATTTGTACTTTTTAGTATTTGTATTGATATAAGTATATATCTGAGTTTCGAACTTTGCAAATTTCAGTTTTTTAATAAGTTAGTTAAAAGGAACGGAAATTACTATTTTTGCTCTCTCATTGTTAATGCGCCTGGCCACCATTTTGATAACTTAATTGCGTTCTATTGAGTTGTGCTGTAATCAGATCACACATAATTTTTGTTAGTTTTTGATTGTGATTATGTGTTTATTTGATTGTCATTATTAAGTTTTGTTGTTACTTGTTATGGTTGATTAAAATAGTAATTGCTATTAGGGTGTGGCTCATCTGTTTTATAATCTTTGTCGACCACTCTGTGGCAATGTAATCTGTGATATTTTGTAAGTGGCACTCAGTGTTGCCAACGTAGGCGATTTTTCGCCATTTAGGCTACTCAGAACGAGAACTGGCGATGAAAAAATCTAAAAGGCGACTGGTCGCCAATTAGGCTACTCTAGGGGCAAGTTTTTTAAGGTAAAAAGGCATACGGCCGCGCGTGCGTGTGTATAGTGTAATTTTTGGATACAAGCGCTAAAAATGACGAATGCTGGTGGAAGCCAGATGTTCAAAGAACTAGCAGAGTTTTCGATACGATGCCTTTCATTACCTTTGAGTAATGCCGTCGTTGAAAGAATTTTCAGCGTAATGGGGACAATCAAAACAAAATTAAGGAATCGCATGCAACTACCCATGTTGATTGCCATTCTTAGAATTCGAACCCATATGAATGTAAGAGGTATGTGTTGTAACAACTTTGAACCAAGTAATTACATGGTCAGTTTACACGCTGGCAGAAAAATGTATGTCTCCGGTGGATCTTGCGCCAGTACTAGCACATCAACAACTTCTGAAGTCGGTGAAAGTCTTGTTAATGCCTTATTATTGCTAGCAGAGGACGAATCAAATTAGTTCCAATTTTTGTTAATTTGTTTATTAGTGTTTAAAATGTAAATTTTAATTACATTATAACGTGTTAAAGATGGCTTATGCCTCCTGATCACTGTGTTTTGAACGTATATTATAAATAAATTGATAAAAACTACATTTTATTTTATTCATATTGATGTTTTTGTGTTTGGGCTACTTTAGGCTACTATAACTGAAATTGGGCGATATTAGGCTACTTAATTCATGAGAAATGGCGATATTAGGGCTAGGGCTGTTGGCAACACTGGTGGCACTTCAACATCAAACAGTCTGAAAGTAAACTCATAACTGTGAACACGTTTATTTATTTTACCGATCCTTCACATAAATAGAGTCAGATATTAAACTTATCAATAATTTAAATATCAACCTGTATATTAATAAATTGTGGCGACTGATACATAGCGACATCTAATTCATCGCAGTAACATCGCCACAAAAAT